CTGCCTCATTTACACACAATTGCAGGGTCTTGATTGTTTTTCTCACTATTGGCAACACAACATACATATATCGTTTATCACTTTTGATCTTTGTTTCATTTACGTATTCTTTATGGTTCTTTATTATCATCATTATTATTATTATTGCAGTGATGTTATTGTTACCAATATTATTTTTATTTTGTAATTTGCATTAAAATTTTTACTTACTTAAATTATTATTATTATTATTATTATTATTATTATTATTATTATTATTATTATTATTATTATTATTATTATTATTACATTTTCGCTCCCCAGGCTCCAACGTGGGACAGTGACCTGTGCCCATGTGGGCTAATGCCCGTAAAAAAAAAAATGGCCTTGATTTAAAATTCTGCGACAGTTTTTAAGTACTGTGTGATTGAGATTTTGAGTATGATGATGTGGCCGTAAATACTACTGCCAAGACTACGAGGATATGAAGTAAGCTTGGGGTTTACACTGACATAGTTTGACTGGTCTGTGGGAGAGTGCGGCCAATTGGATCTACTGTAGCTCGCCCTAATGGCTAGATTCTACTTCGTGCCTATAAAGCTGGTCCATTTGATCAGCAGCTGGTGGGAAACCCTAGTGTTTCTGCCAACGTGGCCAAGGACACCACTCTGCTCTCAGTTTCGTTTTCGTTGACTTGTGTGAAGTGAAATTCGAGGATAATGCCCAGCCTTCATTTTTTCTTCACATTTGCACTGACAAGAAAATTATATATATATATATATATATATATATATATATATATATATATATATATATATATATATATATATATATATATATATATATATATATATATATATATATATATATATATATATATACATACATACATACATACATACATACATACATACATACATACATACATATATATATATATATATATATATATATATATATATATATATATATATATAAAACATCTGTAGGGCACCTGTAAGGTTAGAAGGCTTAAGGTTACACGCTTTTGTATCTGGCCTTCCATCCATAACACAAGTAATTTTTCCATCTCGTGAATGGGACCTTGTCTTTTCTTTGTTATTATAGTTCCCTTTATAGGTGCTGATCCTTTCACTACCTCACGAATACGTTCCTTGTCCTTCAAAATAGTAGATATGGTCAAGTACGAGAAGCCTAGGTTGCGTGAAATTGTTGCTACAGTTTTTCCATTTTCATACTGCATTTTTATCTTCATTTTCGTCTCAAAAGTAATTGACTGTCTCCTTTTCTTCTGAGCACTACCAGCTCTCTCACTTGTATGCTTTCCAGTCATTCTAAAGTCAATTAAATACTGTACAAAATTGTTGTCAGTACACAGCACGATCAGTTGTGGATGCAACGTCAGCCAAACACCAACTAAGCGCTCTACGGCATGGGTGCTGTAGCCAAGCGACGGCCCAAGCCACGCCACTCTCTCGTATGGGACGGAAACGTTTCGGTATAGAAAATGCGCGTGTCATTTGAAACATTATGGTACCTACTGCGGAAGTCGTATGTGCAGGTGGTTGTTACGGACTGAGGCAGGTCGTAAGTGCGGGTGGTCGTAGGTCGAGTAAGTCGTTAGTTGGGGAGCTGTATATATATTTATACCTGTATACAGTATATATTATTTATTTATTTATTTAATTTGTTTATTTCCTTATTTATTTATAAATGTATCTGTATGCCTGCATTACTTATACTGTACAGTATACTGTATATGTAGTACAGTACATGCTGAACCAATGAAAAATTGTATGATGATTTTACTGAATGAATATCTTTTTATATATCTACAGTATCTTCATGCAAATGTGTATACCTGCATTAATTAGATGATCTGCACTAAGTTAAGGATGATATATCAAATGAAGATCATGGTAATGCCCATTTGGGGAGCATCAGTTGGCTTTGCTGATCTATTATTGATAGTGTGTTGAATATACGATAAAAAAATGCTCTTGTGAATATTTCTTACATATCATAACAAGAGGGTTTGAACCAGAAGCATGGGTATAAATGTGCCAATTACTAGAAGAGCTTCAATTTTCATATTCAAGACATATTTTCCTTCTGCATTCACATGCTGAAGGATGGGTTCTGTGTGCTCAGCTGACAAAGTGATGATTGTACCACACCCTGATGAAAAGGGCAGATTTCCTATCACCAATGGTAAAGAAGCTAATAGTGGTTCTCTGTGTCCTGAAATTCCAAATAAAAACTGCATTGAAGTTGGGGGACAGTTTATAGACTGTAGACTTCCAGAAAGTGGAAGATTAATTGTTGAGGCTCTGTTGAGGATTCAAGGTAAATTCTTGCTGTGCATGTACTGTACTGTAGTAGATACTGTATGTACTTGTTGTTTTGTTTGTTGCATGTCAGGACAATTTGGATTTGAGTGCATAAGTCTTATATGCTTTATTGATGATGCAAGCACTGATATGACTACTACTGTACTTAATGAAGAGACATTCAGGTTTGTAAAAAAAAAATGTGCAAATTTGCTGCTAGAATACTTTAGATAGTACAGTACCTCCTTTGAATTTATATTGACATCAGAGTACAATAATATGTGTTACAACTATTGTTAAGTGAATAAACTTAACCCTTTCACTGTGCTGATGCCACTTTTAATATTTTATTCGGCGAGTGTCAGACGATTTTGTTCAGCATAGGGAGGATCCCGTACACAAGGGGTTAGTAGAATATCTTCCCTAACCACTTCACGATGGGGATGCCTCTTTCAGCATTTTATTGGCTAACACCAGACAATTTTATTCAGCACAGGGAAAACCCTGCATACAATGGGTTAATTAAATTAATGAAACCACTGTATGCTGTATCACTTTGTGAAGATCTGTTCTTATATCATCATTATCATCACCGTTTTATGGCCTTTTCCCATGCTTATGTGGGTTAGCCACGATTACCTGATGATAACTCTTCAGGCTGTACATTCTCTTGCAGCCTTTCTTGTCAGGTTCTTATCTTTGAAGTTATTGCTTACAACTTTTCCACGTGTCATTCTTGGCCTACCCCTTCACTCTCCTCCTTTCCTCATTCAAACTCGTGCCTGAAACATCTCAGCCTACCCCTACACAAAACTTCACCAATATATTCAATACACAGCTGCCCCTTTGGGTCTGAACAGGGCTTATTGTCTTTTAATGCCACATTACACATCCATCTCCCCATTCTCACTTCAGCTTATTTGAGCCTCTGTACAGTCACGAGCCATAATAACGAGGACACCTTGCTGGACGACAGCACACTGCGATGGTTACACACACCAACACAAATGGTTGAACAGGCTAACCTATAGTTTGACAAATATTTCCACGAGTTCCATCTCGGAACCATGCACAGAGCTAGGGAAGCTAGTAACACTCGATAGGAATATTAGACTGATAATATTGATATTGAATATGATACTGATAATTATACAGGTGCAATTTATGCTCTTATTAGTTAGCAGTGGATTGTCAATTCGGTATTACCATTAATGTCTCAAGAAAATTATTAAACAAAGGAGAACTAAGTAAAACATCAATAATATATAATTTAAGTCATATTAACAACTAATATGTCATTTAAAGCTGGTGCTGGAAATAATATCACAATGTAGTGATTAGTGTGGTGTGGTGGTGTTTGTAGTGAGTGTGAAGTTGGTGTCTATGTGAAATGTTATATGGAGATGTTATATGAACTTATACAAGAGTTTATTAGAGAGTTGTCCTCTTAATACTGAGTGGAAACAAATTCTACCTTTTGATGTGTCAACATGTGAACCACTCATGAATATCCCTTATTATGGAATGGTAAAGTGATGATGTTAAATTTTTTTCGGAAATCTGTTTAGTGGATTAACTTTTCAGAGACTAATCAATACTGTAAATAGATCTCCAGAAAATGTGAGGTCAGTAGAGTGGTTGACCAAGATATGGGCCATGAAAGGTTGAAACAATTCTATACAAACCCCTTTAGTTTATGCCTGGCTCAAACCATTTTGAACCAATGCTGAAGTCAAAGACTTTGTATGGGAAATTTGTGGAATGCTAAAATCGGTTATATTCACTTCTAAGTTTTGTGAAGATATGAAATTTTGCATATATTAATAGAGCAGGACCCTTTATTTGATCAGAAGGTTTACAGAACAAAAATATGAAATTTGAAGAATTATGATGTCCTACTATGCCACTCTAATTCATTGCTGGCCATAGTATAATGATACCCCCATAGCTGTTTTGCAGCTCAATACCTTATCCACTTTATAATATACTGGGTGTCATCACAAAATGTAAATACATACAGTAACAAAATGTAAACACATACAGTACTGTATTATATTCTTCAACAACACCCTGCCTACCCACCTCCTCTCTCTTCTCTTCTCTCTCTCTCTCTCTCTCTCTCTCTCTCTCTCTCTCTCTCTCTCTCTCTCTCTCTCTCTCTCTCTCTCTCTCTCTCTCTCTCTCTCTCTCTCTCTCTCTCTCCTCTCTCTCTCTCTCTCTCTCTCTCTCTCTCTCTCTCCTCTCTCTCTCTCTCTCTCTCTCTCTCTCTCTCTCTCTCTCTCTCTCTCTCTCTCTCTCTCTCTCTCTCTCTCTCTCTCTCTCTCTCTTCTCTCTCTCTCTCTCTCTCTCTCTCTCTCTCTCTCTCTCTCTCTCTCTCTCTCTCTCTCTCCTCTCTCTCTCTCTCTCTCTCTCTCTCTCTCTCTCTCTCTCTCTCTCTCTCTCTCTCTCTCTCTCTCTCTCTCTCTCTCTCTCTCTCTCTCTCTCTCTCTCTCTCTCTCTCTCTCTCTCTCTCTCTCTCTCTCTCTCTCTCTCTCTCTCTCTCTCTCTCTCTCTCTCTCTCTCTCTCTCTCTCTCTCTCTCTCTCTCTCTCTCTCTCTCTCTCTCTCTCTCTCTCTCTCTCTCTCTCTCTCTCTCTCTCTCTCTCTCTCTCTCTCTCTCTCTCTCTCTCTCTCTCTCTCTCTCTCTCTCTCTCTCTCTCTCTCTCTCTCTCTCTCTCTCTCTCTCTCTCTCCTCTCTCTCTCTCTCTCTCTCTCTCTCTCTCTCTCTCTCTCTCTCTCTCTCTCTCTCTCTCTCTCTCCTCTCTCTCTCTCTCTCCTCTCTCTCTCTCTCTCTCTCTCTCTCTCCTCTCTCTCTCTCTCTCTCTCTCTCTCTCTCTCTCTCTCTCTCTCTCTCTCTCTCTCTCTCTCTCTCTCTCTCTCTCTCTCTCATATTAATTGGCAAATTAAATGTATGAATACAGATTACTCTTCATATATTCAATTACAGTATCCATATTGCAAGAAAGTAAATGATGAGAATTTTAGACTCTCAAGTAGCTGGCTGAGTGATTGAGTTTTAGGAGCAAGTTATGTGGTGTTTTTAAGAGAGAGGTGAAAGAAAGTTTGTAGAAAGAGAATTTTTTTTTCTAAAAAAAAACCAGTTTTTGTGATACTGTATAGTCCAGAATGTTACGCCTAGCTTATACCTAGGTATGTTAATGCCTAGCAATAACTTGCCAGGCCAACATACAGACTATGAAAACATCTTATAATTACTAAATAATTAATATTAAAAGGACACGTCTGTACATGGCATTTAATTGCAATTCTCAAAACCCCATTGTGAATGTTAGAGAATAATGAAATAACTAGGCATACTGGTAGTAAAATAAACTGCATTATTTTACCAAATTTTCATTACTATCTATGAAAAGATGTTGAAAATGGTGAGAGAAAAAATATTAGCTTTGCGGTTGTTGCTTTTAAATTAAAGCATCTGCCTTTTTTCGTAACCTTGAATTTTAGTAAACCAAAACTCTCCCATTCGTTGTATGATTTTTTTTATTCCCCCAGATCATAACCCCCAATAATAAATGGGTTCTACCATTTGATATGCAATATCACAACAAGTGTCATTAACTCGTCAAAAAAGTGAAAGTGCTAATTTAAGTTTTTTTATTGCTTTTGTATTACAAGATATAAGAATAACATGCTGTTCCATGTCTGGCATGAAAATTCCTTTGAAATGTTGGCAGCTAATGGAAATTTGTGTTTTTTATGAAAATTTTTGAAAGAAGCCTAATAAACTCAAAGTGTTTGTTATTGATGTTTATTTGATATTATGCCCTTGTTTCTTTATTTATTTTATGTTCTATATGTATTGAGTAAAACAAGTGTTAAAATCTGACGGCCGTGACCACCACGATACCCGTATCCTCCCGATTTACATTATTTCTTATGGGAGAAATTGCTCCGCTATTCGCAATTTCGATATTCGCAACGAATTTCATGCCCGTTACCTTTGCGATAAGTGAGGCAACCCTGTACTACTTTATTTCAATAAACATGTCAAATTTGCATATACGTACATACTGTATTCATTCATTTTGTTGACAATAAAGAATCATTTACTAAACTTCTTTGCAAGGAAATGGCACAACTCTTCCTAACACTCATCTTCCATCTTGCACTCATGGCTCTGTAAAGGGAGATAAAACCATTTCAATCACATACCAGTGGCATATATAAAAAATACTGGTAGAAACTAAAGCAGCAGTAAAAATATGCTTTAGTTTTTGTACTACAGTATAAAATATTTGTTCTCCCATGCTCACATCAACACAGAAATGGGAAGCTAAAAACAATGGAAGTTCAAACAGTATTGCTTCTTTTATGTATATTTTTATATTAGATAGTTACACTGCCTATCTCCATATAATTAAACAAACTTACCTTAATTATTCGGATGATAGGCGATAAAATATCTCATATGACAGTTGTCAATAGATGGGCTCAGGTGCCAGGCATCATCTGTGACTGCATGTTTGTGTTGTGTTTGAGCCTTTTGCTGAAAGATGGCAGCACAACCCAGGGATTAGCAAAATATTTTGATGCCACGGATTACAGTCAATTTTAGCGGTGTAGCACAATAATAAAAAAATTTAGCAAAGTCGATTTGTACAGTGGAAGGGTTAATGAATAGATATCAGGGAATACCTTTAATGGGATTTCAGTATTATTCTAATTTTTATCCCAGGTTCTGTGTCTTCAAATAAAGTTTTCAGTAAGCTAATGTACAACTGGCAGAAGAGTTCAGCATGTACAGTAGAGGTGCAGTATTAAAAAAAGAAACATATACTCTACTGTACTGGTATATGATTTCATCATGGTGACTTTGTGTATGAATAAATGCATTTACACAGTTGTATTCTGTGTGTATCAATGAATGTATTTACACAATTGTATTCTGTTTGTTTTTTGTGTATTTTTTGTATTGCACTTAGCTTGTATATTCTTAGATGTGAATTGCACATGCATTGATGTTGCAGGAGTAGGTGGTCGCAGACCTGGAACCAATATAACAAATCATGTCTACAACAACCAGCCTTCTATTGGTACTAAAAATTCCATTTCTACTACTCAGCCAACCTCAGGATTCAATAAAGATAATGGAGATACCATCAACAAAGGTTAGTTGTGTGCATGATGTTTGTCTTGATAGTTACGTATTAGTACAGTATAATTACTCTGTATTACAAAATTAATTCATCTTTCTCATTTATTTTTAAGGTAATACTGTATTGTCATTATTTTAATTTGGTGGATGGACTTCTCAAAGAGTAAGCATTTATTAGAAAGGTAAAAAAAGTAGTGTTCTGGTATTGCCAATTCATTTGCATTTATGAGTTTGTCCCAAAGGGAGTTGCTCCACTTCCCTTGACAGAACTCTCCTTTGTAGGAATTGTATCCCCATCCTATTTTGGACGCATCCGTACAAACGACGAAGTCTGTTTGAGGGGGGAACCCAGTGAGATGAGCCGATTAGACTGTCCAAATTTGTCCACCATGACAGATGATTCTTGATCTGAATAGGAAGAGAAGAAGCAATATTTCTGTTTCTGTGAAGCAATTTTGACTCCAGATGAGGTAGTTGCTTCTTCCTTAACTTGCCCAAAGGAACTGCTATGGTGGCAAAATTCAACAGACCCAGTATTTTTTTTTTTTTAAATCGTGCCAGGCAACCTTTTGCTTTACACAGAAGGCTTCTACTTGGTTCATAACATCTGTTAATTTTGCTTCTGGTAGACTGGCTGACTGCTGATTGGTATCCCAATGGAGACCTAACCAATCCAATTTTTGACATGGTATGAGATTTGATTTGACCTGGTTTATCTTTAATCCTAGGTTTTGAAATAGTACTAGTGTATGCTGGGTCTCCCTTTGATAATCTTTGAAAGAGTTTCCCACGATCAGCCAATCGTCTAGATAAGCAAAAGTTCTTATGCCTTCCTTCGCATGGATCTCTCTAGGGATGTTTGCCAGTTTTGTAAACACTTTTTGTGCAATTTTCAGCCAAATGTCATCACTGTGAATTTATAACTTACATCCCCCACTGCGAACAATAGAAATCTTCTGTACGTGGGAGCAACAGGCACTTGATAATAGGCATCTTAAAACTTGTTTTGATAATGAACTTGTTCAGGACAGAAAGATCTAAAATCCACCTCAATTTGTCACTGCCTTTCTTGGGGACTGGGAATAGGCGAGACATGAAACATCTCTCTGACTGCAACAGTTCTATCACACCTCTGTTTAACAGTTGAATTACAAATTCTGTGAGTAAGGGGGTTGGTTTTTAACCCCATTTTGGTAACACTAGCGGAGGGCGCCTCAACCAAGTCCATGTGAGGCCTCCTTTGATTGTCTTGTAAGCCCATATGGAAGAAGTTCACCTAATTTCCCAACCCTCTAGATGACCCAGCTGTCTGTCTTCATTCAAAGGGAGTGGTCGCTGATGTGGTGGAATAATGTCTCCTTCCACTTCTGAACAAACGGCAACCCCTACTACGTCTTGAAATGTTTCCTCCTCTAAAGTTTCCTCTAGGTTGATAACTGAACCTAGCAGCTGTGCCTGTTCCCCCTGTTAGACCTCCCTCTTTTAAATTTCCGAAAGGTCTTAGGACTCCTGGGAACAGTAATATGAATAGCGTACTCAACATCTGATCTACTGTATACTTAACTAATGTTTGTTCATCAAACAAGGCAGGAGAAAGAGAGGAAGAACATAGCAATAAATAAGCACTACCACTTGAAGCATTCTTAGTGGCTTGCTTCCTTAGCTGAACCTTTAGTTTTAGGGCTTTCAACAACATTTCCAAAAATGAATTGTACAGGGAATATGGAATCCCTTGTTTAGCAGCAGCAAAACATGTGTCTACTTCCGAACTGTCCTCATAGTCCAGAGCAAACTTAGTCAATAACTGACACATAATAATTGCAGACCAAATATCTGCTGCCAACTTCCTAAATTTGAATTCTTCAAGCAATAGTGCAGAAGTAACTGGTTTCAAATTTATTTCATAACTTATATCAGCATATTTTGGAGACGACAAATACTGGGAAAGTTCATATAAGGAACTCTTTTTGTCATGAAATTGGAACTTCAAAAAACTAAACTTGTGAGGATTCCTATCTGTGGGAATGAATGTTAAGTCTTTCAATATATTAGCCCAGACTTCATCTATTTCAGAGATCATTTTGGGGCAAATATCAGGCCAAGAAATTGTAGTACTGTATCACCTTCTAAGAACAATGAATGATGACCGACAGTTGCTTGGTCTTCCTGTCTCTTTGTAAGTGCTGATAGCTCAGGAAGTTTAGAAACATTTTCATAAAATACCTTGAATCAGGAATCACAGTCTCAGATGTGGTGGAAAACAAAGACGGCTTAGATCTTACCAATGTTACCGAAGGCCTGTTTGGATCATCCTTACACTCAATGTTATTCATCAGCTGCTTGGCAGTCGACAGCAGCCTGTTTCCACTCATAGTAACCAACACTTTTGCCCCAGGTGGAAGTTGTTGCCAAAATGGGGACCTGATGAAGTCAGTCTCAACAGGTTCTCCCTGCTCTAGAGACTGAACACTAAGGTTAGAGCCAACTTCCTCAACCTGATCCTGGAATCCACTAAAATCAGACTGACTAGGTAGAAGTTCTTATAATCTTCTTATTGCCTCAGTAGCTAGAATATCCAATAGGGGGCAGGGAAAAAACACTTTTATTTGAGTTGCAGGCTGCACTTTTCAGGCATCGTTTGTATGGCTGTAACAAACACCTGTGCAAAATTTCATGCCATTTCATGCATACTTACCCTGCCGCATCGCGAACGACTTTTTGTCAACTTTTAGTGTATACCAAAAATTAGGTGTCATTTAATGTTTTCCAGGATAATGATAAATTTTACATGGGTGACATCGATTTAATTCACATGTTATTTTACAGGTACACCGTATAGAAAATCATTACAAGTTCATATTGAAATTCTTTTTTGTGCGGAACCTTGGCATCATTTTCCTAGACAATAATCTTTGCCTAATATATCCATCTCTCGATTCGTATCCCGTCACTTCAGTGCAAGCTTCAGTCATCACTTTTATGCCTCTCTCGACCGCCTGAGTGCTGTTTGGCCACTTGGGCACCACTAATGGTGTCTCAAGAATGTCATTAACCTGTAGATTTGACAGAGAAGCAATGTAAGGAGGCTCAGTCTTGAGTTCATTCCTCCAGTTAATCATGGAATGATAGTTTTTTGCTTGCCACTTTAGTTTCGGAGTCACCACCTTTCTCATGTTGACTACAGGAGGCACATCCTCATTCCCATCTCCATCTTTACCCTCCTCATCAGTATAGTTTAACAAATTCTCGTCAACAGCAGCATCAGAATCTTCCTCCTCCTCTTCAGATCTGCCAGTGCATTCTTCCTTTTGCTGATTCTCCTCTCTAATTTTTCTTATCATTGAGACAGCTTTTTCTCTAACAGTCATGTCCTCATCTGCACACATACCAAGAAGAAGTTGATCTGTGTGGGCGAAGTATGCATTTCTCTGGACAGCCTTCTTCACTATCGTCTCCTCCTCACTATTCAGGTGTTTCATATATAGCAGGGACTGGAATACGTTCCTTGAGCCGTGTGTTACGTAAGGGTGTATCTTGATGTAAAACCACATTGGAGCACTGAACTTTATTATTGTAATGACAATTCTTTTCAACTCATGGCTGGGTCTTGATGTTGCTACATACAGCCTGAGGATTCTACTCCATAAGGTGTTCCACCTTGACACACAGGGAGGACCTGGCTCAATAGCAGCCAAGTCATCTTCAACAACACCTGTGATAACTCCTTTACAAATCCTATACAGGTATTTCTGATCCCAGGACAGATCTTTCTCCACTTCATCATTAAACACAGGGAAATCAGGGAAACTGACTGGCTGGAAGGCGACAACTGGAAGCTCAGACAAAGACTCCTTGATCTGCTTTCCAATGGGACCACGCCAATGCTCAGGACCACTTGGTTTACCATCATAGTGATAAAAAACTGCGCGGAAAGGCAGCTCATTTCCGTGAAGCTGACATATGAAATAATGGAGCGGGTGACCAAGTAACATTTCAAGATGATGAATGACTCCATTTTCTGATCCTACATTTACATTGGTTCCATCACAACCAACACACACAATGGGCTGCTGGGTTAGATTTTTCTCCAACAGAAACTCGTGAATAGTTTTGGCAATCTGCTTTCCGTGTCCAGTCTGTGGAGTCACATGTGTGAGATATTCATTGCCAGGCTCAACTATGATGACATAATGAACTTTCACCATCATCCTCGAACTCCATTTCTCGGTCTTCTCATTCTTTATCATCACACGAGTGGCGGTCTTCTTACCATCAAAATAGAGTGACGTCAAATTATCTAAACTTGCCATCTCAATTTCTTGCCTCTTAAATCGGTATTTTTGTCTCGCATCCCGCAGCTTATGTGGTCCAATAACCTGACTCTTGTCATCCTTTGTGATAATGCCATAGTCAGTTAAGGTGGCAGTAGCAATGGCAGCTCCAGCATAATCACTAATCAAGTATCGGTCACAAGCGGCAGCCAGTGTAGGGAGTCTTGTCCGGTTCTGTGAACTGGTGTCTGTCAGAGCCCTTGGATCAGGGACAAAATCAGCATCAGTATTGACGAGAGGAATATCTCTTGAATCATCTGAATTATCCTCAACATAAGGAATATCTCCAGCTACTTAAATGAAATAAGAGATATGAAAAAAAAGTTGATAAACACTGAACAGAACATTGCACCGCCACAGCGGCTGTTTGGCTAGTACTGTAGGTAAATTTAAAAATTTCAGTAGAAAATGCGGCAGACTAAACCTCGACATATCCGCTTCAAATTTGGCATGGAGTCTTAGATATGTATAAGGAACAATGCCTGAAGAGTGCAGCTTTGAGCACAATTTCACTGCCCCCTAATATCCAATAACCTACTTTTCTTAGGAGAAGCAGTTGGTCTAATCGGGGATTAAGTCTCTTACCTATCACCCATAATTCTAAACTTTCTGCCAACTTGGGATCTTTCCAGTGTTTACATTTAGAAATTTACTCTGCAAGGCTTTGGTCCATCTATTTTTAATTTGGATCTGCAATAATTCTTTCTTATCTCCTGCAGCTTGATTAATTAAAAAAATTTGATCATAACAAACTGCACAATTCAATGGTGAAAACAGGTTGTCGGAGACACAGCTGCTATGAATTATGCAAGCCAAATGAGGATCTAACTTGGTAAACCAAGTGGCTCTACATCCTTGATAATCACATGTAGTACGGTCCCCTTGGGTCCTGGGTGAAATACTACTACTGAATTCACATCCTCTACTGATGGACATTTCCTTGTATGTAGTGTATGAGCTGAACTTTCCAGTCCTTGTAGCTCCTCACTCAACACTACTTCCCCAGGGACAGTTCCATGGTCTCCTCCATCATTTAGCAGTCCAGACAACTGTCCTTCATCCTCCAGTTGTACATCACTCATCTAAACTAGGAGGAACACTATGAGTCACATTGTATCATCATAATAATACAAGGGAGACAACATTTTCTCCCAAACATAATCAATATGACTCTTAACTGATATTTTAGTAAGTTATTTAATTAACATCTCTTTTTGTTATATAAGTCACCAGTGTGACAATCATAAACAACTAACTAACTCACTATATCATACACCTCTCCAAAAATCCGGACTGCTTGGGGATTGGGTTGGTCCAGATTTTCCGGATTCTCAGGCAGTACTTTTAAAATTCAAATTTAAGGAGGAATAAAGAAGAGATGAACAGGTACGGCAATATCTAACTGTCTAATACCATGACGAGTCTTGAAATTCCTAAGCCATCCATCACTAAATGAGCACTCTGATTCAATGTTCATTTGCTACTTAAAAGACTTTGCTTTGGCAATAAGCATCGGCCCAGAAATTGCCATACCTTCTGAACGTTTTAACAAACACCATTCGTGCAACACTTCATCAAGATTTTCTAATTTTGGCCAATGTAAATTTTTTCTTTCAACAATTTTATTGTAAGGCTCAGAAGAAGCTATGAATTCTATAATTTTATTCTTTGCCTTTTTTTATATCATAAATTGTAGACTTTCCATTGTCGTATGTTTCCATTAGAACAGTTTTGCTCACACCATGTTCTAGTTTCTTAATTATTTCAAGTTTGTCACTCAATTTCAACGTGTTCTCCTTTCTCTTCACACAACGAAGTTTATCTACTTTAGGAGCCATTATTATGGGCTTGTACTCTGTAAATGGGAAGAGTAGGACTCAAAATTACATACGTTGTCACAGTTTGATTGATCGTTTTAAAGTGGCGACTGCGTGGTTGCTTGTTGTCGCTGTGCAGCTGTGGCGCTCATGCATGCGCAAATACACACAAAAGCCCGCTAAATTTAAAAAGTTTGAGTTTGAAAACTCTGGATTCTCAGGTGGTCCGAATTTCTGGCATCTGGATTTTTGGGCTTATACTGTCTATATATATTCTTTTAGTGAAGACGAGCCCGGAAGGGCGAAAAACAACGTCATTCACTAAGTGACTTGAAAGCAGAGGATATTAGGCACTAACGATCTATCGTCTTCCTAATAGAAGACGAGCTGTGGTCGCCATGCTGACCAGACTGTAAAAAAAATTGTCCCAAACACAATATCTGAAAGACATAAACAAAATAAAAGTCACTCGATTTCCTTACCAGGCAAGAAGATGACGTTAGCAATGCGTGTGATGGATGGTGCGGTAGGGGGTTTGAGAATTGCAATTGAATGCCAGGTAGCGACGTGTCTTCCTAATATTACTTATTAAGTAATTATTAGATGTTTTAATAGTCTGTATGTTGGCCTGGCGAGTTATTGCTAGGCATTAACATACCTAGGTATAAAGCTAGACGTCGCATTCTGGATTGAAAAAAAAAATCATCATCTATGTTTTCTCCTAGCCAACCAAATCTTAATATCAAACATCAAGAATTTCATTATCTCCTTAATTTTCTCAACACATAGGTGTTTAGGGAAATGAAAATGCATCAGACATTGTTTGCATGTCAGTAGAAACCAGTTTTATGCTGCTAGTTAGTCTACATTTTCTCATAGAATTGTCACTTGTCAAGACCATCCTGCCCGGAGTTCTTGGTCAGCCAACTATATACAGTAACTGAGTGAAACAGTTTGATTGACCCCTGAAATCAGCACGGCAATCCAGAGCTGGTGGGAAGTGTTTTTTGAATGTTGCAGACATATCAACTACTGCATCTAATCTCCCTTGGTTATTGGCTTTGCTAGAAAAGGAAATTTCAGGATCATAATTCTATTTAGAACCTTAGATAATTTACTGGTTTATAACCTATTCTCAGCTTCATGTAAATTTTCAGGAAAGCCTAAGAGAGCAGCATGGGATCTTAAGGGACGTCTACAAGACATGGAACAGTTGATGAAGTCCTCGACAGTTGAACGTGAAAACTTTCTTGCCAAGCTTACAGATTATGACTCTCGGATTGAGAATCTGGAATTGGAGAAGCAGAACCTTAATCAAAATCTGCAGAAGACACAGACAGTTTCCCAAGCAAACCAAGAGGAGGTTGATAGATTAAAAGATAACTTAAGGTATGTAATTAATGCTTTAAAAAATATTAAATAAGGATCACCTGAAGATTAACCCACAGCTTGTTTCACCTTAAAATTAACCCACAGCTTGTTTCACCTTAAGATTAACCAACCTAATTTTAATTTATCTACCCTTTGTATCATTCTTCTTCATCATCATCATCATCATCATCGTTTTATAATCATTTTCCATGCTTGCATTAGTTAGACACAGCTACTTGATGGCAGCTTTCCATGCTACATGGTCTATTGCAGTCTCTTGTACAGGGATGTGATTTCTCCGTTTTTACCCATCGTTTTAAGCAACCCATATGAATCGCGTAGATCCGTTGTGAAATTTTTTTGGAGGAGGGGTGGTATGACCATGACGAGAGAATTGTTTAACAATAAATAACAATAATTGACCCTCAAGGTTTGATGGGTCAGTTTACTGACTGCCGGGCAAGGACGATGAGCCATTATACTGAGTATAGTGGCCGCACTCTACATGATCATTCATTACATCATATACCGTTTTTCTCATTGGCTGAGTATTGCTTGTTTTGCCTTCCATTATTCAATTATTTAGTATTTGATTGACCAAAGATCAATGGCGTCATACAACGCCACTATTAGAAGCATTATAATATGCCCCTTCACCCTATCCACTTGATCCACCCTGGTGGCAGGGGAGGGGCTTAGCATTTTTCAATATAATTTAGCTTCTATAATCTTTATACATTTTCTGAACACAATTTATTCCAAAACCCATGACATATTTCATAGTTGTACAGGCAACTCAGTAGGGCATGTTTGTGTCCCCCAGGAGGTCAGGGTTGTAGGACTTGTGTGTTTCCCCCAGGAGGTCAGAGCTGTAGGGCATATTTGTGTGTGTCCTCCAGGAGGTCAAGCTTGTAGGGCATGTGTATGTGTGTTTCCCCCAGGAGGTCAGGGCTGTAGGGCATGTTTGTGTGTGTCCTCCAGGAGGTCAGGGCTGTACGGCATGTGTATGTGTGTTTCCCCCAGGAGGTCAGGGCTGTAGGGCATGTTTGTGTGTGTCCTCCAGGAGGTCAGGGCTGTAGGGCATGTTTGTGTGTGTCCTCCAGGAGGTCAGGGCTGTATGTGTTTTCAGGAGGTCAGGGCTGTAGGCATGTTTGTGTGTGTCCTCCAGGAGGTCAGGGCTGTCGGCATGTGTATGTGTGTTTCCAGGAGGTCAGGGCCAGGGCATGTTTTGTGTGTGTCCCAGGAGGTCAGGGCTGTGCAGGGCATGTTTGTGTGTGTCCCCCAGGGGTCAAGGTTGTAGGGCATGTTTGTGTGTGTCCTCCAGGGGCCAGGGGGGTCAGGGCTGTAGGGCATGTTTGTGTGTGTCCCCAAGGGGTCAGGGCTGTAGGGCATGTTTGTGTGTGTCCCCCAAGGGGTCAGGGCTGTAGGGCATGTGTATGTGTTTCCCCCAGGAGGTCAGGGCTTTAGGGCATGTTTGTGTGTTTCCCTCAGGAGTTCAGGGCTGTAGGGCATGTGTGTGTGTGTGTGTGTGTGTCCTCCAGGGGATCAGGGCTGTAAATAATAAGAATAATAATTAACGGTTTATTGAAAAAATTCTGCAGCCCGAAGGCTGAAAATATACATTGGACATAAATGACTTATTACATACATTGGTGGTTTAACAAAAGCCTTCATTAGAGAAAGGTAAAGGAACATACAGTGAACATACAGATTAATGTAGGTGTTGAACAGCAAAAACGTAGTGTAGTAACTCCCTCCCAGATGGTGTTAGGAGGGGCCTCACGTGGTGTAGTAATTCCCTCAGATGGTGCTATGAGGGGCCTCACGTGGTGTAGTAATTCCCTCGCAGATGGTGTTATGAGGGGCCTCACGTGGTGTAGTAATTCCCTCACAGATGGTGTTATGAGGGACCTCACGTGGTGTAGTAATTACCTCACAGATGGTGTTATGAGGGACCTCACGTGGTGTAGTAATTACCTCACAGATGGTGTTATGAGGGGCAGACGTGGTGTAGTAATTACCTCACAGATGGTGTTATGAGGGACCTCACGTGGTGTAGTAATTCCCTCACAGATGGTGTTATGAGGGGCCTGACGTGGTGTAGTAATTCCCTCACAGATGGTGTTATGAGGGACCTCACGTGGTGTAGTAATTCCCTCACAGATGGTGTTATGAGGGGCCTGACGTGGTGTAGTAATTCCCTCACAGATGGTGTTATGAGGGACACGTGGTGTAGTAATTCCCTCACAGATGGTGTTATATGAGTGAGGTTTGGTCTTAGGCCTTCCTATCGTAGATGGATTAACACATCGCTGGTTCTTGTTGGGTCTCACGGGCCGTTATCACTGGGTACCTGGGACCTCACTGTGTGAAGGTTAACTTGGGTACGACTGTTACTGTTGAGTTGTTCTCACTGACTTAAGCACTGTTCACCACTGTTTAACACTGGTTCCGTTCCTGTCCTAAATGAAATTGTAACTTCTGGCGAGAACTTGTTGATATTCCGGTGGGGAGGAGGGTTCAGGGGAGGGGGTTGGTATGGGCCAACTTAACAGTTGACCTGGCTGCTCCGAGAGGAGCGCCAAGTACGTCTTGACCCTTCGGTGGTCAAGGATGTAGTGTAGGGCTGTAAGGCATGTGTGTGTGTGTGTGTGTCCCCCAGGAGGTCAAGGATGTAGGGCATGTTTGTGTGGCCTCCAGGGGGTCAGGGCTGTAGGGCATGTTTGTCTGTGTTCCCCAGGGGATCAGGGTTGTAGGACATGTTTGTGTGTGTCCCCCAAGGGGTCAGGGCTGTAGGGCGTGTGTGTGTCCCCTGGGAGGTCAAGGCTGTAGGGCATGTTTGTGTGTGTCCCCCAGGGGATCAGGGCTGTAAGGCATGTTTGTGTGTGTCCCCCAAGGGGTCAGGGCTGTAGGCATGTTTGTGTGTGTCTCTCCAGGAGGTCAAGGTTGTAGGGCAGGTATGTGTGTTTCCAGTGTCAGGCTGTAGGGCTTTGTGTGTACCCTAGATCAGGGCTGTAAGGCATGTTTGTGTGTGTCTCCAGGAGGTTAAGGCTGTAGGGCATGTTTGTGTGTCTCGGGAGGCCAGGGCTGTAGGGCATGTTTGTGTGCCCCCAGGGGGGCTGTAGGGCATGTTTGTGTGTGTCCCCCAGGGATCAGGGCTGTAGGGCATGTTTGTGTGTGTCCCCAGGGCTGTAGGGCATCAGGGGGGTCAGGGCTGGGCTATGTTTGTGTGCTCCCCAGGGTTCAGGGCTGTAGGGCATGTTTGTGGTGTCCCCTGTCAGGCTGTAGGGCATGTTTGTGTGTCCCAGGAGGTCAGGCTGTAGGGCATGTTTGTGTTTGTACCCCAGGAATGTCAGGGCTGTAGGGTGTTGTGTGTGTACCCCAGGAGGTCAGGCTGTAGGGCATGTGTATGTGGTTTCCAGGAGGTCAGGGCTGTAGGGCATGTTTGTGTGTGTCCCCAGGAGGTCAGGGCTGTAGGGCATGCTTGTGTGTCCTGGAGGTCAGGGCTGTAGGGCATGTTTGTGTGTCTCCCAGGAGGTCAGGCTGTAGGGCATGTTTGTGTGTGTTTTTGTGTGTGTCTCCCAGGATCAGGGCTGTAAAGCAACAGGTGTGTCTTCCAGGGTCAGGGCTAGGGCATATTTGTGTGTACCCCAGGAGGTCAAGGTTGTAGGGCATGTTTGTGTGTGTACCCCAGGAGGTCAAGGTTTTAGGGCATGTTTGTGTGTGTACCCCAGGAGGTCAAGGTTTTAGGGCATGTTTGTGTGTGTCCTCCAGGAGGTCAAGGTTGTAGGGCATGTTTATGTGTGTACTCCAGGAGGTCAAGGTTTTAGGGCATGTTTGTGTGTGTCCTCCAGGAGGTCAAGGTTGTAGGGCATGTTTGTGTGTGTACCCCAGGAGGGGGACCCTATGATGTTTAGGAACATAAAACTCTCCAGCAGTAGGTATAGAAGCATGTTACAGCAGAATCGATCCATGGCAGTTGCTGTCGAGGAATTGATCTCTCGCTTTTTTTCTACCAATAGTGGTGTCCCACAAGGTTCTGTTCTTTCACCTACTTTCTTCATTCTTTTTATCAATGATTCACTTTACACTAGGACTAATTCTATCCATTCTTACGCTGATGATTCTACTCTTCACTTTTCTTCACATTTTCCTTCTTCCTAATTATCAAACTAGATCTGTTTCTAGAGCTGATATCATTTCATATATCAATGCGGATCTGTGCAGCATCTTCAAATGGGGAGGTAGAAACTTGGTTAAATTCAATAGTAATAAAACATTATTTACCAATAAAATTTTCCAAAATAGAAGATCTCCCACCAATCACATTTCAGGATGAAATCATTCTGTCAAATTCTAAAACAGATATGCTAGGCCTCACCATTTCCTCTAAAATGTCATGGAAGCCACACATCCACAACATTACTAAAGCTGCCTCCCGAAAGCCGGGAATGCTGTACAGATGCCGTAGCTACTTCACTCCTGAGCAGTTGCTTCAAGTTTATAAGGGATCCATTCATTCTAACTTGGAGTACTGCTCTCATATCTGGGGTGACTCTTCTTCTGTCCAACTGTTTGGTAGGGTGGAATCAAAGGCATTTTGTCTTATTAACTCTTCTCCTCTAGTTGATAATCTCTCTTCCCTTTCTCTTCGCCATAATGTTGCTTCACTCTCTGTTTTACAGGTACTTTAACGGGCAATGTTCGGTGGATTTGACATCCTGTGTTCCGCCGGCAAGGCCGTGGGCTCATAACACTCATCTTGCCCGCGGTATCCACTGTTTCTGTGTGGATGTTGGTCACACTAGAATAACCCGTTATAGCACATCCTTCTTTCCTCACACAGCCAAACTGTAGAATGCTCTACCTTCTTCTGTGTTTTCAGACTCTTACAATCTGTCTCTCTTCAAAAAGCTGGTTTTGCGGCATATTTGTTGTGTAGGTTAATGCTGTATAGTCTTTTTCTCTTCTATTTTTAATTTCTTTTTACTCCTATTTTTTTGCCCCCTAGGCCCCGT